ATACAGGTTTCATTGTAAGACTACATATAAATTTAATATTTCTGGATCTGAATAAGAATAAATTGTGTGTGGGTGCTTCATATCAACAATATGCCACAATCTATTTGTCAAATAACTCCCCATTACAGAGTTTTAATATGGAAAAAACTTTACTGAGTAAATCGCAGCATAGATGTTTGAGCTACAAATGTAAACATATTTAACAATGCACCAAACATAATATTGTCATTAGATGTATATTCAATCCTGTTAAAACATCATTGCAGGAAAAATACTGAATTATTCAATTTTATAAATACAGAGTACCAGTATTGTAAACTCTATGTTCACAAGAGACAAATTCATGCAAAATAACAAATTTTTGTAGCAGTGAACTGGGTCCTAAAGTCAAAGTGATTTTCGTGACATTTTTTTCCCTTGAATGCTAATTCATCATCAAATCGGAAAAACTCTTAGCAATGAAATGTATACTGTTAATAGTATCTCTGCTGTAGAGATTTTTTTTTCTGTTGGTTTACATGAAGTTTATGTAAAATAACCGATGTCAATCTATGATAAATCCTTGCAGAAATAAAAAGTAATACACAGTATAAATACAGATTACTATAGAATACTTCAATTTCACATTATGATGAAAGGATAAAATAAAATAAAATAATAACACAGCATATATTCAAAATAGATCATTGAAGTTTGATATTTAACCTTGAGGCTGTCATCACTAGCCAGTGGTATGTTGTTGGTAATGCTAAGACATGTAACACATCTTGTTTATTAAAATAAAACTTGGCCTTCAGAGAATGTCCCTGAGTGTAGTTCACTACACAATCAGTTATGAATGCATAACCATATCATAGGATGTATATTTAGCGCAACATAATATGTTGCTTACACTCTTGGGCAAAGAAGGAAATGGAAGCGTACACCAAATATATTATTAGTGGAATGTTTGGGTCAATGATGTGTCACCCACATAGCAATTGGATTGACCTTTTTCAGGTCAAACTATCAGTTCTACATCTATAATTATTCAGTTCATATTTATTATATTGATAGATTTATAGTAATAGATTTAACTCAGTAAAAATAAGACCTGGTATATGCTTTACTCTTTCAATGGCAGATTCAGAAAATGAATATGCATAATATTCATCATAATAAAAAACATTTTTTTATCAAGACCAGTAGT